CCCCCCCCCCCAACCCAAAAAAAAAAAAAAACACACACACACACACACACAGAGACATGCAAACACTTGTTCGTGGGTGGAAAGGGGGGATTACACCATGCCTGTGAGTAGAACTTCTGATAAAGACTACTCTTTAAAGAGATCATAAATTGCTAATCTACATTTTCTGTGTGAAAAATGGAAGATGCTTTGATTCTTGGATTTACTGAGTATATTTTTCACATTTACCATTCAAAACAGCTGCTGAGTGGTCTCTTTTTGGCTGTTTTTGGACAAATGGTCAGATTTGCAGTGCCACTTCTCGACTTCTTGTGCATGTGAGTATGAAGGCCAAGAATATTGCATCTTTGATGTTGTTATTCAGATATCACCCATATTTTAAAGCCTCTTGCTCTCTTTTGACCATAAGCTACACGTCATTATCCACATTAGTCCCTGTTACTGTCTTCGTAGCAGTTCTTTTGTTCATTGTACACATATTTTCAGGAGTAGTATGTAAGGGCCTTTGGCAGGGCTTTTGACAAGTTAAAAGTTGCTTCTGAGACTAAGAAGTTGCGTATGAACTTGTATGGATAATTTTATGAAAGTGTTTTACAAAGGTAGAAGTGCTTCTAGAGGAAGTTGGCCCAAGGTGACTCTCTTAAGAAGTTTTTCTACAAAAAGCAGAAGCAAAAACCCTGCCATACAGGGTGATCACACTTTAAATTCTCCAAACAGCCAAATAAAAAAGAACAAAGAACTTTATATAAAAATTTCAAGAAAATAAGAAAAAGGTCAAATGAGAAGGAAACTGGTGACATATAAACAGTGGGTTCTTGGATTAAGCTTGTGTCATATGATTTCATGGGCGGTTGCATCATCTTGTGGAGCTTCTTCCGGAAGGTGGGGCAGGCTGCCCAGATTGATGGGGCTGACTCCGGCTTAAGCTGGGGCTTGGTGCCTCAAGATCTGAGGTATATTCATGTAGGTCATGCCGGCCATCTGTGCTGTTTGCTCATGAGTCTTGCCTGACTTCCGCTTCACAGCTTGGAGTGCAGCAACACTGCTAGCTTTGCTGCTGCTCTGGATTTCCATTGTTTGCCAATGCTGTACTCTTAATTTTTCTCCTTCATAATAAAGGACTGAACCAATGGTTCAATCTACTAATAATTTATGAACTTTGTAGTAAATTGGTAGACAATGTAATTATTTTTCCAGCATCATGACCAACTTTTGAATTTATAACATCACCAGTCCTTAATGAACTGTTTATATCAAATTAGCTATCAACAATCCACATGGCCTTCGTACGTTTAGCTTCTTTCCGCACCTCAGCATCTTCCGAGGGTCTGTGGTTAAAGATCAATTTGACAGAAACTGTCCATTAAGGACTAATGGTGCTACAAAGTCTAATAGTTGGAAACAGTGATGTCAACAATGTTATATTGGGGACCAACTTGCTGTCATGCTAAGCGGTAGGAAACTGATTGTGCAATTTTTCCAAATCTCAGTATACTTGTGTATCTATTTACTTCTTCATATTGATCTTGTACCTCCACCCACAGTTTCCAACCTCCTAGACTGCGTCTCCCTACATCTCTGCCTACCTTCCCTGCTCCCTTCTCTTTCACTCCCCACCCGCTTCTGGTTACATCTCCTGCTCGCATTCCAACTTTCACAAATAAGCTACATAATATTCTATACATGAAGTTTCAGGTCATACATTCTTTTTTGGTCTTTCAACGACAATGAGATGGGGACTTAGTTATCCTTTTCTATGCTGTCATTTTGTTGACTCCTGTCAAAACAGGGTATTTGGATTAGTTTAACACCTTGCATTTGTTAATCACGTTGAAGCATAAATAGAGGGTTTTTGATGTTTAACTCGTGTAGCAAAGAGTTATTATGTTCTATTGTTTATTGTCTTGAATGTTGTACCAACACTAAAACTTTTGATGTTTTTCACAAATATTTCAGGAAAGCATTGCATCCGAATTCTTGGACAAGCTTGTAAATTGGTGCAAGAATATCAAAATTTCAGACCCATTGGAGGAAGGTTGCAGGCTTGGTCCTGTGGTTAGTGGTGGACAGGTAAAAAAAGCTTGTATTAACCTCTGTTTTCTCAAACTTAAACGAGATATAGGGCTGAATGATTAACATCGTTACCTGCAAAAAAAACTTGCTGTGGCAGAATCTTACACAATAACTTTGGTGGGTAGAAACTGTTGAAAACATTATGTTTCAGTTCTTTGTAATATTTTGTTCATAAATAATGTGAACATATTTATGCTTGCTGTCGCACTTATGTCTAATTGGAATGAAGATGTTGAAAATGATTATACTCATTACTCAAATTTGGTATTGTTACAGTATGAGAAAGTAATGAAGTTCATCTCAACAGCCAAGGATGAAGGTGCCACCATCTTGTGCGGAGGTGAACACCCTCGGGTAAAATTCCTTAACATAGCCTATGGCAATTTTGTGAATCAGCCTATAATGATATTGACGTCTCTTTATGATTGATTGCAGCATTTGAAAAAGGGTTACTTCATCGAACCGGCCATAATAACAGACATAAAGACCTCCATGCAAATCTGGAGAGAGGAGGTATTTGGACCAGTTCTTTGTGTTAAAACATTCACAACTGAAGATGAAGCCATTGAACTAGCAAATGACACCCAGTGAGTTTACTCTTTGTTATCCTTAACGGTTCTGTTCCTGGAGACCCTTTTTTGTGATTTAATTCACTTTTTCATTGTCTGGATAACCATTGACAGTTACGGTTTGGCTGCTGCTGTATTATCACAAGATCTGGAAAGGTGTGAGCGGATGACAAAGGTGAGAATCTTTTTCACTTATGAACACTATTTTAATACCTGGCCTGGCCGGTCAGGTCTTTTAAGACACTACATGATGTTAAATATAACTATGGACCTATGGTTGGTGTTTCCTTCTTTTATTTTGGCAGGCTTTTCAAGCAGGGATTGTTTGGGTTAACTGCTCGCAGCCATGCTTCTCTCAAGCTCCTTGGGGAGGCAAAAAGCGTAGTGGTTTTGGGCGAGAACTTGGAGAAGGGTAATTTTATGTTTTTCCATCTCTATTCTTTGCTCAAAAATGTTCTTCTTAGTATTCCTAGTCGCCCGTCCAGACCCTTTACTCTCCTTGTTCATCCTCTCATTATGAAATATGATTTTGTTCATCTAAACCTTAACAAAACCCAAATTTCAAGATATAGGAAGAAAAGCAAGGAAAAAACCTGAACTAGATAACTTGCTCTTTTCTCAGGGGACTCGACAACTATTTGAATGTGAAACAAGTTACACAATATGTATCTGATGATCCATGGGGCTGGTATAAGTCTCCTTCCAATCTATGAGAACTTCGTCTGGATGTAGAAGTGCGAATTGAGAAACTGACAATCTTCATCTTTATTGAGAAGGTCGTCAAACTATGTACTGATGAGTGCATTGAGATTACTTAAACTTGTGAACCGTGTTTATTTCTCTCAAATGATTACTGTAGCTTACTCCGGAAATGGGCAATATAAAACAGTCTCGAATAATAGTCTTTTTTATTTTCTTTGCATCGCACGTCCATCTTCTACTCACTTGTCAGAAGTGAATTCGCATTACAAAGCTGTTTTATTTTGAATTTGACGAGGCTCCCACTGTTTCCCAGTAAGGATTTTATTCTTGTGCTTATTTATGTGTTGTTTGTATACTACACACATGATGCTTATTCATGTATTCCAAGCATTTCTGAATACATTTACGAAATGAATGTATTGAACATATCTCCTGTACGGATACAACCTCTACAAAAGACCTTCGCCTCTCTCTCGATTTTAGTTTGATCACCAATGTCACTTGTTTAGTCTTCTCAACTTCCTACCAAGTTTGAGAAGATTTTTAATTTAAAAGAATGTTTTCGCTTAGGTTTATTTGCCTTTGTCTTTAACTTTTCGTGCAATGCAAGAGGTCTGAATTCAGGTTTTTCTGATGATGAAATGAGCAGTTTTTATATGCAAAATTACTTATTGTGAAGTCCTCTATAAGTAGGCATGTATATTTGTTTTTAATTACCAGTTCTCTACATATTGCATCTGTAAACTCTTGAAAATAGATTGGGGTGAGACCTCTTGAGATTAATTTTTTGTACTGTAAATTCTCCCTTTATGAAGAACAAATGTTTAATACCTTGAAAAAAAAAATCAAGGAATAGATGCTTTATAAAATAATTATTTGATTTTGTTAGTCATTTTAATTTTAAACTAGTCCAAAAATTGATGTTAAAAACGAATATAATCAACGGGACAGATCCAGAACTCGCGACATTTGACTGTGAAGAGGATGAATCAAGCATTTTTTTAACATAAAAAGAAGTTTGTTTATTTTTCTATTTTTTTTCTTTTCTACTCTTTTATTTCAATTAATAACGAGGGGACAAAGCTCTTTCCAACTAAAATTGTCATCAGGTACGTCACTCCATCTTTTGTGTGGTACCTACCTGCATACTTAATACGACTTTAGAATGCAGGATTATTGCTCATTGGAGGGTGCAATGATCGTATGCACTCCGACGATGAAATCAGAAATAGAAAATTGAGTGTGAGAAGAAAAGTTGTAAGAATTTTAACTAGAAATAAAAGATTTAAAAAACCTTGGTTTTGTGAATCGTAAAGGTATTTATGAAGTTCAAGGTGCAAATGAGCATCTTCTTCTTTTCGGGTGGACATCTTGTCCATGGACTCGCAGCCCATCTTGGAATATCCTAAATGTCCTCCAGTTCCTATGTGGGGTGCTAAACTTCGGTCTAAGCTTCAATTATAGATCTTAATAGGTTTATTTACATTATCGTCACAACATTAAGGGTCCGTTTGATAACCTAAAAAATGGATGGAAAAGGAAAATATTTTCTAACTTTAGTCAATTAAGGATGTTTGATAGCACAATTTTCCTAACAAAACGTTTTCCATCTTTTTCTAGG